CGTATCGTACAAGCGTATGCCAGCGTATGAAAAATATCACTCATACGCTGGGAAACGCTGACATATATGGCTAGGGGTACGTTAGGCATAGGTTATATACGTTTCAAGCACGGTCGCATACGGTGGAATACGGTCGCATACGGTGGAATACGCTGGCATACGGCGTGGCGAAAAAATTTTTTTAAGCATACGATAAGCATACTCTAGGCACACGCTGAATACGCTAGAAGTACGCCAGATGAATGTCACTCATACGCTGGCATTTCAAAGGATATTTGTGCGTATGAAAATTATTTCATTAATTTTCATACGCTTCTCATACGTTTCTCTCATACGCAATAGTGTGATAGGGCCTTAATTAAAACATGACGTTGGAACTTCCCTTTCTTCAGGAAATGTTCTAATGTAATGGAAGTGTTCGTAATGGAAGCGTTCTAAAGTTATACCTTTATTTAAAAATGGGAGTCACTCTGAGTTGAACAATTATCGACCTATTTCGATTATTCCGGTTGTTGCTAAAGTTTTTCAGCGAATTGTATACGATCAAGTATTGGCTTATATTAACAATTATAATTTGATTTCAAATTGTCAGTCTGGATTTCGCGGTCTTCACTCCACTGCCACCGCTCTATTGGAGGCTACGGATAATTGGGCATATAATATTGATAGCGGTTGTGTGAATGCCGTTGTTTTTCTAGACCTAAAAAAGGCCTTTGACACGGTAGATCACGATATCTTATTATCTAAACTTAATGCGTACGGTATTAGAGGTGTTGTACACAAATGGTTGAGTCTTATGTGAATGGTCGTCACCAAAAGTGTTTTGTAAATGGGTGTCTATCCGAAAACCGCACATTAACGTGTGGTGTTCCTCAAGGAACAATGCTAGGGCCGTTATTATTTTTATTGTATATAAATGATTTGCCGAATTGCCTCTCACATTCACAGCCTCGTATGTTTGCAGACGATACTCACTTGACATATGCGGATAATGATATCGATAAAATCGAACTTAATCTCACTAATGATCTTGAGAGTATTCGTGGGTGGCTTATTGTTAATAAATTAACACTGAACATGTCCAAAACTGAATTTATGGTGATAGGTTCGAGACAGAGACTTTATACGTTTGATAATGCTCCAGTACTTACAATCGAAGGGGCTCCTATCAAACAGGTAAAATCAACCAAGTCTCTGGGCCTTCACATTGATGAGCATCTCTCATGGTCTGTTCATGTTGATGCCATTTCCAAAAAAATCGCCTCTGGCATTGGTGTGCTAAAACGCATCAGGCCTTTTGTTCCTCGTACAACTCTGCATACTATTTTTCATTCACTAATTCAACCACATTTTGACTATTGCAGTGTTGTGTGGGGGAATTGTAATAAAACTCTTGCTACAAAAATGCAGAAATTACAAAACCGTTCGCCTAGGGTTTTAACATTTTCCGGCTATGATACTAATGCTGATGGTCTTCTTCAAGACCTTGGATGGGAAAACCTTGAAACACAGCGCCAAATTCATCAGGCTATTATGGTCTATAAGTCGATAAATGGTTTGGCTCCTGAATATCTTCGTTCAAAATTTGTTGATCGTAGCTGTGTTTCGGGTTATTCTCTTAGGGACACTGTTGGCAAACTTGCTGTTCCTTTTCCTCGTACTAACTACCTAAGAAACTCATTTAGTTATAGTGGTGCAGTGACATGGAACAGCCTTCCTGTTGAGTTGAGGCAAGCTAATTCTTTAAATTCGTTTCCGATCTGGCTGTAATAAATTTCTCTCTTCTCGATCGTAATACCTAATTAATGCACGGCACTCATGTAAAGCAGGTTTTTCTTTTGTCATTTTTTAGTATGAATTTATATATTGTGTTATTTATATTGTAAGTAGCGTGTTATTAGTTTTATGCATAATTTTGTAGATTTATTTATATATATAGCTTTATGTATGTAATCTTAGTCCTGATGAGTACACCGTGGATAAATAAAGTTACCTTACCTTACCTTACCTTACCTTGCCTTACCTTACCTTACCTTACCTTACCTTACCTTACCTTACCTTACCTTACCTTACCTTACCTTACCTTACCTTACCTTACCTTACCTTACCTTACCTTACTGTTCCGGAGGTATGCCATGCTCTTCTGGAGGTTGTTCAATGATGTGTGCTTTGTGCAAATGTAACACAGGTGAGAATTAAAACATAACACTTCCCTTTTCCTTTTTTACTGATTTTATATCTTAAAGGTTTGGCAAAGTTGACACCAATGACCTCGAACGGTGGGCTTACCTCTGTTAGAAAGTTATCCATATTGCTCTTTTAAAGGTAATCACTTTGGTTTTGCGGAATACATGCATACATACATTGCAATTATCGATCAGTTTCTTCACCATCGAGGATCGAGGTTGTTATCCACCAATGTTCTCTCAAAGCAGGCATGGTATTGGCAACACCAAATTGCTGAATTTTGTTTTGGTATGAACTATTTGCTTAACTCCAACTCATTTCTTTTTCTTCGATTATGCTCCAACCTAGAGCGATTACACCACTAGTTGGTTGATCTTCACGTACGCTAGCTTCAGGCTTTCATCTTTTGCTACCTTTTTGTTTGCTTTCGGTTGTAGCTGCCAAATTGCTTCTACTGTAGCTAGGAATCCAAAGTATGCTAACTTTGTATCTGGAAATGTTTCTCGCAACTCGGTGAGCACCGGAAACAGGATGGAAAACCGACAAGACGAAAAAAGGGCAGTAGCAATCCTTTGATATTATCCAGTTAAATTCCTGCATAAACTGCTAAAATGACCAAGATTATCGTTGGACCTCGGCGGTTGTGCTTAAAGGCCCAACTTTCAGCTGGGAAAGCTAAAGGTTTTGTATTCATTCATTCTGTTGGTGAATGCTTTACAAATTATCAACATTTTCCACAAGTGATTAGAGTGCTTATTCTTTCCTCTTCCTCGACCGACTGCCCCGCCCTGCCCCTCGCCAAGGTACATATGCATTAAAAGGTAAAGATGCATTAAAGCTTCAATGTTTTATTCGTTTGGAAATCCGCATTTGAATAAAATATAAACTAGTAATTTTTTCAAAGTACTTTAAAGAGGCAATGTCACCGATTTTTGAGCAATTCCAACTTTTGCAAATTTTGCCCAAAACTCAAAAAGAATGAGTGTAAGCACAAAATGAAGCAATAACAGACGCAAAAAACATGTACAGAAGTCTGGATGGGCAAGATTACGCCAGGATAGAGATGGATTGTAAATGGCATCTTGATTAATTGTTGGCAGACACTTTTTCAAGTTTTAGTCAATTTTTATGAAAATGTCATGTTGCATGTTGTGTGGAAGTTCAAAGGTGTTTAATATGACTCATATATCATAACTTAATCCATTTGCAATGTTTTTTTTTAACTTTGTAGTTCAGTTTTTGAATAAAAGGCATTTTAGGTCAAAAATCGGTGACATTGCCCCTTTAAGTAATATTTTTTAGGGAACAGTCATTATTAATGCTGGGAGGTTGGCCGGAAAATATTTGGGGGGCCACCAAAAATGTATTAACCACTTAGGGGGGCTACCAAAAATATCAAAGAAAGGTTGGGGGGCACCAAAAATAATGTACAATAATCATAAAACATCAGCAATTATTCACTGTAAAATAAATGTCAATGCTATATAGGTGTAGGTAGTCACACAGGAAGGAGTGCAATTAATGATTAACACTGTGAGTAATATTTGAAAAATGTACCAAATATCACGAGTGGCTTTAGTCATTAATTGCACGACTTGCCAGTGTGATTGTCGATTTATTTTATGCATGACAAAATCGCTTTCTTTAAAATTCAACTTCATTTTGTCAAGAGTTTATTAATTCTTTTGTTTATACAAACTTGAGAAATGATCATAAATTCATAAAGGCACTTGGATGTCGCCTCGTTGAATGGAACATTCCATCTTTCACCTCATGAATATATTCTTACCATTGCACTCATAAACATTCATTATTTGTATAATGTATATTATGGTAAAAATATGTCAATTTGGACTTGCCTATTTGATAGTGCATGCATGTTCTCTTTTTCTTCCTCCTTTGTTGGACTATTGGCGTATAAATTTCATGCTTTAACGACTACAAGCCCTCGTCATAGAATAAAGATCCATATAGAAGGGCCACTTACGTCAGAAGCTTTGAAGTTTCTGTCCTCGCGCATGTCGCATTACGCATGTTGGCTGCCATTTTCCTAGCCCGTCAATGACATTTTCTGGCCAATAAACACGGTGTACTGGCTGGCTGGTCCGTCTTCTGGCCAGTAAACTGCATATGTTTGCATAAAAAAAACGCGGACACGTTGCACCGCTGAGTGGCCCTTCTGTTACTGATCTCTATTCTCTGCCCTCGTGGCAGTTCAAGCATGAAATTTATACGCCAAACGTCAACTTCAAACGCCAAATCTTAATTTACTGCTTTGGTGAATGGTATGACTAGTGGTTAATTTGCTTTCTTAAATCATTGCTAAAGAGCACAAATTTAATAAGTTAAACAAATTTTATAACTGGTGTACAATTAAGCTATTATAATAGAGTTGTAAAATCAAAAACCTCGCTAAAAGTCTCAAGTACTGTTTCCCTCGGTCTCAGTAAATAAGTGATAAATACATGACATCATGTCTTATGTATCACCAGTACCATCGAGTGGAATTAAAGTCTCGGAAAATATTAGGCTAACAAAAGAGGAATAAAAGGAGAACATACACTATCAAATAGGCAAGTCAATTTCATTCCAAAATTTATTTTATTACATATTTTTACTATAATATACTACATTACTATTTAAAGTCTATACTGACCCTTGCGAGATTGGGCCGCCTGTGATCTACAGTATATGTTTAGAATTCAAGTTCAATCACAGGGAGAAGAGGGGGGGGCTATGAAAATTTATTATATCTCAAAGGAGGGGCCATGAAAATATATTTCGAAATTATAAGGGGCCATGAAAAATTTACCACAAGTTTATAAATTTCTTCCAGCCCACTGGGGCCCCCAGCATCAATAATGACTGCTCCCTTACATGTAAAATTTGGATAGATTATCGACAGGCATGTTTTTGATGGTATAAAGAGACAAAATTAAATGACAAGTTTTGGACACTCGCCAGCTTTTCCTTAATTTTTAAATACTGTTCATGAAGTGCTCCTTCAGCTTCTTGCAATGTCTCCTTTGCTTTATTTTCCAGGTAACGATCCACTATTTCACGCAGGATTCGTTTACGGTCCCCCTGTAAGAAAAACAGTCATATCATTTTCTCCAATTGTGACATCACTGGTATACAATGAAACGTATGTTGACAATATCTCCGTATTGTATTAAATAAATCCTCCTGGCATATATTACTGGAGATAATCACAAATTGTCATCATTCCAAATTTTCCGAAATAAACACTAGAAATACATGCATGCAGCAATCTAGCCTATATTTTCCAAATATTTATTTTAACACGCAGTGTCAGCAATTGGCCAACTCTGAACGCAGGCTCGCGTTGTGTGTGGTGAAGTGTTGCCATAGCAACACGATCATCTTAAAAGTTGTCTTTTATATACATATATTTCCCACAAAACGGGAAAAAAGGGGAATTTAAGATTTAAAATGTTTTAGGCCATTCCAAGAACAGCTGCGAGAATGCGACCATATGCAGGAATTGAACCTGTACAATTTTGGTGCAGTGCTCTAACTAATTGTTATGTTCAGATGGTTATACATCTAAGAATTACGTGTTGGCCGATATAATGAGAGAGAGAGAGACATGAAATTGTGGAAAGTAATTTCGGAAGACGCTGCCCATAGTTTATATGAACTGTTGCCCCTTAAGAAGACAAGAATTCTCAGGAAGCGAGGTGATAACTTTATATATATATGAACTATATGACAATTGTTGGAACAAACGAGTATAAACTGTGGCTACTGGCGAGTCTGTTGGTCCCATCAACCTTGTTACAGGATGAAAAAAACTTGTCCCAGATTTGTCAACAATTGGGAACAACTATTTTGAACACATCTTGTTGAAACCTGCGAGGGTGCTCTGGTTTCACTCCCTCGCCTGCAATATATCCCTTAGATTTTATTTGTTTGCTTGAGTACGTGTGTAGACCGGTTAATAAGTGAATAAATTAATATTAGTAACTATTTACTTTAATTCTGACTTGGCGTTTACCTGATTGCTCTCCAGGTATATTTCCGTTCTCTTAATTGCTTTTCTCTAAAAAAAACATTAACACGTCAGCACGTAATTTTCACTATATTTACCCACCTCGTCGATCTCGATCTCTGATCGAGATTTTGTCTGCTTTGGGATTGTTTACGCCATGTAATTTTATACTCAATACACAAATATGGTCGACAAAAATGCTTTAATTGTGTTATTTTTATTTTATTTTCGACATAGGAATTTGCGTGATCTCATCGGTAGGAGGACAGTTTTGTGTAAACAACAAACCAATGCTCTAGCTGGAGAATTTTAAGTCCTAAAGAAGTTCTCACCTAATCTCAATTTCCTTTGTGTTTAAATTTGGATTATAATATAGCATTTGTAAATTCTGAACGCTGATTGGCTAAGAGCCGTGTTGCTTTTTATTTATTTGTGCTATATTCATTTTATTTCTTTGTGCTATACTCGAAATTGTGTGAAAACATCCCGCCCTTCGGGCGTCGTGTTTCCACACAACTTCTCTTTTTCCCAATTTCCACTCGTGTTGATGTAACCGTATATCAACACGGAAAATGTTTTATATTTGTTAATATAACTACATGACCTTAGGATGTATCGTCTTTGTCATAGTCTTGTCGGAATCGCAAAAGTCGAATCCAGAGGAGGGTGGAAGCTCTTCCTAGCATGCATTGCAACTCATTAATATTCACAATCATGATTTTTCACGATGTTAGTTGGAAAAGTTGTGGATATTTATTTCGATATTTCGCCACAAAAGGTTCGTATTTTTGAAGGTAAGTTTTTATAATTGTTTTAAATATGAGTCAAATTAACAATTTTTGCTTCATTTGGTGTTTTAACAACGTTTAGTTATATGTTAATCGCAATTTGTATTGACCTGTTTTTCGGGTCAATGCACAAGTGTCAAAAGTGGCTTTCAAAACCGCTGGGGACAATTGGGTTTATAAATTAGTAAATTAAACAAAAGACACGCCATCGTATTCAGGAAGAGTTGTTCTTTCTATGAGAAGTTTAAAAAATGAATTGTCTCCATCAAACTGACAAGTAATCGCGGTTTGAAAATGGGGCATTTTCGGTATACTATGTCGCCCATCGCAGGAATAGTCGACCGCATGGGAATTATGGCGCGAAGAAAATTACTATACGAGTCGTTATTATTTTTGTTTTATTTCGAAACATGGGCATATATGTCGATCGTTCTTGAGTTTAACTGCTGCATTTAAGTTAAATACACTGTATTTTACCATTATTTTTATAGAATTCGAATATATTTTGTGAAAATGGAATCTGACAATGATGGCAATGTTGTTTATATTCTTGATCCTATAAGTATGGGAAATGTTCAACTTATGAATTTAATGCAGATTTAGAACTGTTATTGAAAAAACTGTTCCTACATCTTGCTTTGGCAAATGGTATAACATCTAATCCAGCCAAGTTGTGCTCATGATCCATTCAGCTGATTCAAGCAATGAAACTATTGAACCAGAATAATAAGAGCAACCTGTTATATAAATTTGCCCATACCAGCCTTAGATACATATTTTAGTATGCACACATGTAAATATTGGTGTATTGGTGATATGAAAATGTTGCAACGAATCTTAAGTATTTACTTTATATATTGTAACTTTGAATAAAGCATTTTATTAACATCAATTGTGTATGAGCACTGCATTATGACCACCAAATATCAGGAATGGATTTACTGGGGTGTGTGCACCCCCCACCTAGCCCTGGCCAGAGGGTATGCAGGGGGGAGGCTATTTTCATGATAAAGCAAAAAATATTAGAGACAAAATGAGTAAGTTGAGTAATAACATGATGATAAGTAAAATGTTAACAACAATTACAATACAGTAGTTAAGCAAGACTTTGCTATAGTTAAGTAAGTTCATGGGCGCTGCACATGACTGACACAACTCGGCACCAGAGCTGGCAGAGCACCCTCCCTACCACATCATACTGGATCCATCTTTAGATCAGTGATCCATCTGTGCTGAATATACAACAGTTAAAACAATATTAAGACCACATGTACAAGGTGGACTATAAGATAAAGTAGGGATTTGATAACTGCAGTAAACAAACACAGCAAATTGAGTTTGAAAATATTTATTACTCGCTGGGGCACTGTGCCCCAGACGAGTATAGGTTTCGGCACGCATTTTTGGTGGATGTCAGATGTCATATTTCCGATGTCATATTTCCGATGTCAGATTTCCGATGTCAGATTTCCGATCGTCGTTGATAGCCACAAAGTAGAATATTAATGAGCTGCCTAATTTCCCCCCAATTATCCATAAGGCTCCTGCCAATTTTACCCAAATTATCCATACATAGCCTTCCATTTTGAGGAAAATTCGGGAAAATTGAACAATTTTACAAGGAATTTCGCATGGAAACAGCAATCTTCGCATTTCGCAAATCGCAAGTTTATAAAAGTTTATACGTTTGACTGCGCTGCTTTATATTTTGAGAAGAAAGTGACACCGTTCGATTCAGCGCAAGAAATTGTACTTACGGATGTCAAGTGTATTACTAAACACCCGTATTCTAGCGATTTATGGCCTTTGAAAATGAAGCGAAATTGTATTGTTGAAAAATCGCTCGCAGTACCTATTCTTGATCACAAATCACTCGCACTACGTTTGTCCACAGGTTTGTCCTTGTATTTGTAATGCATAATGGCGCAATAAGGATAAAAATACCACCGTTCGATTCAGCGTAAGAAATTGTACTAATTACGAATGTCAAATTTATTACTAAACAACAGTATTCTAGCGATTTATGGCCTTTGTCTTTGAAAGCCAAGTGAAATTGTATTGTTACCAATCGCTCAAAATTATTAAACTAATTATAGAAAATGCAGTACGTTTGACCCTTGATATCTTTGGTATCATTGGTTTTCTCTTTTTCGGCCGTATACCAATGGATTCGTCTCACTTCTCGCTTCCTTTTGATAGTATTTTGAGCCGAAAAGCCCCAAAATATTTTACTTTGAACGTTTTAAAGCGCAGTTTAATAATCCTAGACCAACTGGCGGCCGACAGTTTTGAAAAAGAATGTAGCGGTACTAAATATAACTTTACTTGTAGGGCCTACCGCATTTTGGTACTGTGTTATTAAGCCTTTCGCGCTCGTGTTCGTCGGACTTTTCCGCTTAGCTCGGGAAAGAGCTGTGTACTGTATGTACCATGTACATTGTACAGTAATGTGCGTAGTTGTATAGCCCTAGCGAGTTAACGCTCCGTAGAGCGTCTTGTTTATTTGAAAAAGGAATGGTAAAATTATATTTAACAATTATTCGCCGAAGTGATTATCGGGGAATATTCGCCGAGACGAAGTCGAGGTGAATATTCCCCGATAATCACAGAGCCCGAGGCGAATAATTGTTTTAGTATTTTTGCACAAGTTTTTTTGTGTTTTTCTGGTCTGAATTCATTTTAATTTCGCTTCAACAAAACGGCTAGCCGCCATTTTGAAAATTTCGATGGTGAAAATAACAGATTAATACGTCAAATTTGACCAATCACCTGGTAGGATTTGTTATGTTCACTTGTGCAAAAATACTAATATCAAATATTTACCTGAAATAATAACAGTGTTTTAATAGGAATAAATTTATATGAAAATCTCAACTAAAAATGTCTTGCTCATGTTTTACTTTAAATTTCAACTTGAGATTTTTTGATCATCTATACATGATTATCACAAGTTGGTATCTTTGTTCTCGCCAGGAACCAGCTACAACAAACTTCTCAGGATACAAAGTGTCCTCCACAATCATTGTCTTAATTCTGAGGATACAATGTGTCTCCTCCACAATCCTTGTCCTTCAGAATCTTTGTCTCCATCATTTTCCTAATCAGAGCTTGAATCATTCATGTATTTAGCATCACCAGTAGCGTGTTACACACCCAACAATTGGGTCAACTGCTGAATTTCATCAATCTTGTCCAGGTCTGCAACTCCACTTTCTGCACCAATACTTTCAACATCACCAGGCATCTCTTCACCATGAATTTTAACCAAACACATAGGATTTACTGCCTGCTTAATGCAATTGCATAACAATGGATCATCTAAATTCACCAGTTGTAGGTCATTCAGTATATCCTCTAAAATACTTATCCAGCTTGGGTGGTCGGATTGTTACAGAAGTTGGTGATGGAATAATGTTAAACTCCCATAACAGAACACAACAGAAGTACTACAGGTAAAAAAGATTTGATGCGTTTATACAGGGACGTTGGAACAATAAAAAGGCGAGGGTACCTTTATAGACGTACAATTATGTGTTGACCTGCCAATGAAAGCCTGATTGTGCATGTTCCATTGAAGTTAGCTGTTCTGTGTTCTGGCAATAAAGTCTATTCAAGGAACTATAACTGCACAAACACACTTAATCAGGTCACATTCAAGTTCACAACTCATGACTTTGCCCAAAACTGGAGATAAGATTTAGCAGGCAGAATTTCTATAACTCAAAGTGCACTTTTGAGTTCTGCCCCCTTTGCCCCTCCTCCCTGCTTTTTAATATATTAAAATATATATATTTGACTCATTGGATATAAAGTCAAATTATTGTATGATTTCCGAGTATAAATGGCCCATTTTCCCACCAATTAAATCATAAAATAATCGTACCTTAAGGTCACAACTAGAATAAATTTCTGTCAATGAAGGACTATCGCATTCGGCGAACATATAATATATTCAACTTTTACGCCAATGTCGTAATGTCATTATCCATAAAACTAGACTAGTTCGACATCCCTTCACGAAGCAGCTCCAGTCGCTCTTTCGACACACAATGTACATCTCTGCAATGTACATAAAGATTGCCACGTCCATCCAAATCAGTAGCTTTGTTACCACGAACAGTACGAAAATTCGCCATGATTTACAATTTTCAATTTGTACTTTTGAATACCGCTCCTTGTAAATTGAGTAGTGAACACAACGGGAGCTAGTCGAACAATGACGGCGCGTCCCGGGAAATCAATAATATTAATGAGTTACAA